GGGGAATTCCGGGAGTTGAAGTCCACTCATCTTAAAGTGGCCAAGTTTGGACAACACTGCTCTAGAGACTATTGTCTATTATAGCACACTTCTTACAATCAGTAACCAGACAAACGAAACAGATTTCATTCCTTTTGAGTGTCTGGAATAACTTAGATTTAGATCAGCCCTCCCCAGCCTTGGGGTGGCAAATGCAATGGAGAAGACCGCTCCAAATAAATACTCCCAAATTATAGTCCAAATCCAGCTCCAGCTCTTTGAAATTGATTCCCCCTTGAATCAGTCTGGAGTCTGGTCTCTTACGTTTTAAAAAGGCCCTTAATGCTTCTTTTTTGAGGACCTTTATGAAGCTGGAAGACCTTTTCTTCTCAGTAGCAATATTGACACTGGTTAAACAAAGGTAGTGCTGGGAATAGATCGTGTTACATTGATCATTATATCATTTTAGGGTTGATATTGCATCATAATGTTCGTTTTGTTTTGTTTGTACTGCACTTATCCGTAAGCGCATATCAAATAAAAATATTACCATTGCTATATCTGGATGACGTTTGATTGAGGAAAACCAGTTTAGATGGTTCCCAAATAAAATCCACAAAGCAACTTAGAAAAGACAGGAGATCCTAGTTCAATTCCTCACCCTAAAATCCGTTTTATTGATGCAAAAAATAAACCAGTGAGTACCACAAAGGACATTACAGTACATCATTGAGTCCCAACATTTCTAAGCTCATGTTTCATCTCTACACTGGAGTATGAATACACTCCTTGTCAACACTAGATCTTTCAGTGCAAATCAGTTCTGGAACAGTTTTGAATTTTGTGATTAACCTTCTAAAGATTCCTATTTTTAGTTTCCAGCAGACTCTAAATCAAATGAGATAAAAAGAACTGCACAGCAGCAAGGACTGTTAAATGTGTAAACCTATTAATGCATTAAAAAGGGGGGGGGGGAATTGCACTATAACTTAGTCTCCTGTTGCATGATTTATCTCAAGTGCTCACTATACAATATTTTCTTGTGATAATGGTCCAAAAATAAACTACTTTTAGTTCAACATCTGCTGAAATGATCAAAAACGGCTTTTTTCAAGATCAAGAACTGCTAAAACGATCGAGAACATATACTATTAACTGCGAGTGGTCACAGCCATAAACTAGAAAATTGTTCCAAGTTGGTGTCTCTTGTCTGTAAACTTTGGTGGTTTGTTTGCACTGACTTTTCAAGCAAGACTTGTGTTTTCTCCTTCTTAACAAGTGAGAAGTTGTGGTTTGTTCTCAGCTTCCAATTCTGGTTTGTTCAGAAGCAATGCATCCCAGATCCTTATTTGCAGGACATTTGCAGAATAACTGTGCTTGTCTTAAAGAAGTCCATACCTGAATATGGCCATTATATGATTATCCAAATTGGGGGGGGGGGAACCTAGTTCACCCTTCACTATGCCATAGTTTAACCAGTTTATCAAATAAACTACAATTTGCTAGATTCGTTCAACACATTAAGCCTTAAGGGAACCCTCTATATCAGGGTTTCTCAATCTTGGCAACTTTAAGAGGTGTGGACTTCAACTTCCAGAATTCTGGGAGTTGAAGTCCACACATCTTAAATTTGCCAAGGTTGAGAAACCCTGCTCCATATGATTCTCACTAAGATTGCATGAGAAAATACGATGTTGGTTAAGACAAGCAAAACATCTACTTCCCTAAACCCCCTTCCCAGGAACCTGAGAAACAATAAACCATGTAGGCTCAACCATGAAGCATTTAGGCAGTCAAGGAAGGTTGAAGAAACTATAAGAAGATACTAGAGGTGAACAAAGATTCTGGAAATTAAAGCCAGTATAAAATAAACTCCTAAAAGTATTTTCCTAGAAGACAACTATGCTTCTGAAATACTGCCTTTGTTCTTTCAATATACCACTGTTTTTGTAGTTCTACCCTATACCTCATAGATGCCACTCCATCTCTGGTCAAACACATGTATGCTTAACCCAGTCATCTTGGTCAATCATATGTATATGCTCATGGGTATAACTTTATATAAAGGAGTTGTGTCCCCCACCCCTTTTTAATTTTGCTTTTGCAGCCTCCAGTACTACAATCAACAGTATGTGCTTGCAACAGCATGGGGTGCTGATTTCTATTTTAAACTAACTCTTGGGGGAATTTGCGAGAGAAATTTCTCCTGCAAGATCATCCAGGAAGATCTACCTATAGCTGCTGTGGTCTCATTTGCAACTACAAATCAAGGCTTTCTGAAAAGGCACTCTCCCCTGAACAGAGGGAGCTGCCTACCCTTCAGCCTTAACAATGCTTTCATAATGTATGTTTATGTGCAATCTTTTAATTGTGAATATTCTTAAGCTTGAATGGTTACTTTCTTTCGATTCTGCTTTAGGTTTCGACGACCGACCACCAGGAGCCGGCGGTATAAAATGTGACAAATCAATACAGAAAAGAAGGTGGTGTGTTGGGTTTAGATTACGGGATTGGGAGACTCACCGGCCAAGGAGACTCACTGCAAAGTCCTGCATTCACTTACCTAGGCTGTAAAAGCCTGCTTGAGCAAGCCTCTCCTTGCTAACCAAGTAGTTCCACGTCACAAAAGTCTTGATGCGGTTTGCAAAATCTGCCATCAATGGGTTGTGTGGAGGGTGGGCCCGATGGCTGTTGCTTCTCTCCAGCTGTGCATCCCCTGATTGATTTGGAACGGTCCTAACATTGCCAACATCATGACCGAGGACAAAGAAACATCTTGGGAAATGGCGGCGATGCTCTGACCAAGCCTGATCACCACGTTCCCAGTTTTTCAACTTGCCCCCACAACAGAAGCATTCGACTTCATCATCAATGCCTCGGTAATAAAGTCCAGCATTGGCCAGCTCCTTCGGAGTGACCGGCGCGTAAGGAGACCAGCGGTGAAAAGATCTCAGCCGGATCTCTTCACTACACATGGCAGGATTTTGGGGGTAAGGGGAGCCAGAGAGGTCCACCACTTGCCTGGTTCTCAGTAAGTAATCTGCCTCAAGATCAGGGGACAGATCAGGATCTGGTGGGACAGAGGTGGCTGCAAAGCCAGTTTCTCTTCCAGGAGGGCCATTTGGAACCGTGCAAAGCAGAGGAAGCTGTTCAAAGTTAACACTGTTGATAAACCTGCAGTTTGGGGAAACGCTTTTGTGCCTTCCAAACACCGAGTCCCCCTGTTTCCATCCTTCTAGGGTTGCAAGACAGCTAAAGCATCTGACTTGGTCTCCCTGTCCAGTGTAGAAGAACCCTGCCTGGGCTAGAGCCGAGGAAGAAACTGGGCAATGACTTGGAAAATTGGCAAATGTTTCTTGTCTGGAATCCAGCTGAGCCAGTTCTTGGGCCAGGTCCTCGGAAGTGGGGCCGTTACATGTCATCCCTCTTTAAGAAGAAGGAGTCTTCCCCAAAGTTCCTAAACAAAAAACACATGCAAGGTTAGAAACAGAGAGGCACTATGAAGATAATGCTTAATGTTAGTAGGGCACCCTCAAAGCCCCTTTAATCTGAGAGGCAAGGTTGGACAAATTAGTGCCCCCCCCCAAACCTTAATGCCACCTCCACTGTTCCTCCCAAAAAACTCCACCGAATGTTTCTGTGGTTTTTAATGTGACAGAAAGAAGAATGATGATTAATACATTTCTGTATTCATCAAAGGCACTGGGACTCAGCAAATATGCTGTATTTAATTTGTTACAATTTAAAATCAGATGTAAGCTCAACTCAATGGAATTTCTGTCCTGATCCTACCCATTGCACCCACCCACTTTTTGGACTGTCGCTTCTGGCATACTTTTTATAAGCCCAACACATTAGCACCAAAATGTCCCCATCCTAGTTCAGAACAAGACGTTACCATCCCTATTACAAACACAGGGCTTCATCTGAGAAAGCCTTCTCCGAATCCTGCCCATTAATTGACTCGTTTGTAATTCTGTATATTGTGCAACTCCAGAAAATGGAGCTAAGTCAATCAAAGCTCAAATGACAACTGATCATTGTGTCTTGCCTTCAAGTTGATGGTTGTTTTTCTGTTTTTCTACGCTTCCAGCCCCAGAACAGTCGGGGTGAACACCCCCAGGCAGAACTTAAATCCCTTCTCTAGTTTTCTGATCACACCAAGCCTAATGTGGTTTCTTTTACCTTAGTGTTATGCACCCAAAACAGTCTTCTCTCACCTTGAACTCCTCTGCAAGTTTTTGACCTCAACATCAAATCAAACTTTCTTCCTTCCCTTCCTTCAGCTTTATTTTAAATAAAATCTGGTCCAGTAAAGAGGTCAGAGGTCATCCTGGAAAGCTTGCATTTTTTTCCCTGATCATCAAGTGCGTTTGCCTAACAGAAACTTTGGAATTTCTTTTAATGGCTAACCGAGTGTAGTGGCAATGCGGAAGACCATTGTTATTTCAAGGAGTTTAGGTGACATTGTTTGATTTCTCCTGCACATATTAAGAAAGCTCACTTTGAATCATAATAATGTTTAGCTGGCTTGTTTTTCACTTTTACTTAGAAGTGGAGGGGGGGAGGAAAACCTTCAGGACTCTGGATTCTTTTGATGAGCAGGTATAACATCCAGTCAAGGTCACTCTCAAAGCTCCTGGCCCCAAAACAGAGTCATGGGATTGCAGTGCCAGACTTTGATTAAAAAGCCCTGGCATTGCCCCAGAATAGGGAGCGTGGAGTGTGGCCTTGGGACCAGGAGCTGTGTTATCTAAGCCATCTTGGGGTCTCTCCACTGTCGCTTTATTGTGGCTCCCGATAGTAGGGAGAGAGTTATCATCATCTTGCTTGGTACATTATGCTTTTATACCAGTGTTCCTCAACTTTAGCAACTTTAAGATAGGTGGACTTCAACTCCCAGAATTCCCCAGC